GCTCCACTAACTTAGAGGGACTGTGATAACGACCTTCTCAAGGCCTCTGGCTGACCGCAATGAAAGCGAAGAATGAGTTCATAATAAATTTACAGGAATCTCTGAGGGAACTGGATAGACTTATGCCACATTTTACCGCAGTAGTGAGACAGATTGGTAAAGGTTACGTAACAAATAGTTCCTCTCCCGAGGTATTAAATTGTTTTATGTATTCAAAGACGCTGAGGGGAAAAAACATACGGTATTAAAATTATTTCAGAAAATATGAGTTCCACCAAAATATTAAACGGTATTAAAGAGGGTAATTCAAAAAGATGCAATTGCTTCTTGAAGAGTTGTTAGCTGAAAGGGTATTATTTCGTTTTGGCATTTTGCGTCGACTCACTATAAACGGCGAATCCCTTTTTAAATTGTTGCCACCAAATATTAGATCCCTCTATTATATTTAAAGAAATTTAATAACGAAGAATCTGCATAAATGTATGTATCTTTCTCGGGTTGTGATAAAACAATGATAACTAGAGCCATCCAATTTTGAATAACGTACGTCTCCATCCGAATATGGGCCAAAGGTGTCTCAAATTGGGAATTTGTTTTATTATCTATTTCATATTTTGTAATGCATTTATGATTTTTTGATTAACAAACTCAACGATTTCTAAATGAGCAATGGCAACACTGTACGAAAAATAAAAATTTATTTTTCACTGTGTATCAGAAATTCTAAACTGTGTATCAGAAACTGTGTATATTCGCGACACTGTGTATCAGAAATTCTAAAGATACGCTCTTTTGAATATTTTGTGATATTTCCGTTGAATTGAATTTTATGATTCAAGTGCGAAGAACATGATCTCTAATAAATAAAGGTAATGCAGAAAAGGTTAAAACCCCCTTTGTGCGTAATATAAAATCTAAAAGCTTTCAGATTTTTTTAAATTTTAGTTCCCGTTTAAAGAATGAATGAATCACATACGGGTACTCTTTAAAAGTTCGACATGAGTCTAATTAGGTCTAAAGGAGTACACAAGTAAAATTTTGTGAAGATAGCGCTTATCATTTTAATTCTGCGCACACTGATTAAATAGAGCTTCGAAAAGAGTGCTGAAACGAGCCTTGTTGTCAATGAACTGACGGATGAGATGCGGAGAAACAAAGAATACAGACTCTCAGTTGTCCTAGATTATCGGTGAGCCCGATCTGGGCACACCTGGGGACCGCCGTCTGATTTTAGGCAAGATTTCAAGGTACAAATTTAAAACTAATATAAAATAAGAAGATTAGTAGACAGCCAAAAAAATAACATAGAAATTTCTTTTCAAACAATTCCTTTTATACTCTAAAAATAATCTGGAAATTTCTTTGAAAAATGAGGGTCTTAAAAAACTAAACATGGCTAAAATATATGGACTGGTCTGTGTTGCACTGCCATCTACTATAAATAAAGTTCAGAGTAACCTATAAATCCTTTTTTCACTTAATTTTTCTGTGCGTACAGAAGGAAATTTTTATGTGTGTCCAGACCGGACACACTGTGCCGCAAAGGGTTAAACACACAAATTTTTGCTTTTTACACGCACCGCCTACAAAAATTTGAAATCCATAAATTGCTCTTTCTGTTATTGAAGATTTTTTAAGGAGTAAAAACGTTTTTGTATATAGAAATTATTTCTGGATAAAAACAGTGTTAAAATTATGATATGATTTAAATTTCATTTACTCAAAGCTAAATAAAATTTTTAAGGTTTATATAACAAAGTAATTTCGTTAAATATAAAATTTGAAATTTTAGTATATCTCTAAATAGAAATTAAAAATCATTATGGTATATTAATACTTGATTGATTGAAAACATAACATTTAAAATTAGGATTCGAAAACATAATACACGTTTCTTGTCTTTGAAAGTGATTACAGTTGGTACTTCAAAAGTGTAAATAATGATATCTCGGATAATTTTGATCAAATGCGGTTTGATTGCTTTAGTTAATATTTAAATACCTATTTCGAGCTTCTTTGAAACATATAAAAATTTACTTTTCGTAACTTGATTGTTACTAGAAGCTGTCATATGACGAACATAAAGTCTGCAGGAAATTATTTCATTTCCCCAAGTTTGCTGTTGGAATGTAAGCAATTAGCACATTCCTCTAGCAATTTAAAAATAATCGGCTCGAATTCTTTTAAAAATGGTTAAGCAAATACAAGGCACTGCCGCATTGCCCAGTAAGTGCTTTCCTTATGTAAGTGGTTATCAAGCCCAGCTAGTAATTCAAAGATCCATCTTTCGAATCATGGCAAAGACAGAATTAATATCCTGGCTTCGAAAAACATTATAGTATCTAGAGCAGTAGCCTAAGGTTTGATATTTTTTAAAGTGATATTTTTTATTGTCTCCTTTTCCAAGATATGTTTAATGGTGAACACTTTTTGAAACTAAATATATGCATTGTATAAACATGGTATATCTGTGTAAACTATTAAGGAAATTTAAACATTATAAAACACATTAAATTAAGCCGAGCATTAATAAATTATAAAAGTTTATAGTTGTATAATAACACATATTTTAAGAAACAGGTAATTAAAGAAAATCCATGGAATCCCCTAAAGGATAAAGGTGCGTAAATTTTTACAGTGCAAGAAGATATTAAACGCATAATTGTTTAATACTTAACTTCAGAAACCACTTTGTTTTTAAAACCAACTAGTTACGTAATAATACATCTATACTGTAAAATAAAATACACTGCCATCCAAAAGTTAAGTAACCGCATGTTTTTGAAGGCTCACCGTTACAAAAATGTTAGTAACATTTAAATTCACAGTTTATATGCATGGTAATAACAACGTTTAAGAAATTATATGCAGAAACAATAGCTAGGACTTTTATTTTATAGAAAGAAATACTTGTATAGGATTTGGAGGGAAAAAAAGGCAAAAATTGCAAGTTTTGCTCACGAGTGTTGATTATCAATTGTTATTAGCAATTTCGATGACAATATCCAGGAGAGTTTATCAGTCTCCAGTAGAAGTTGTTTGCGAGGTGGCAAACTATCGGATGGTTGGAAATGGGGATGTCACAAGCAGAGGCTGCTAGATGTCTCTCGTAGTGTGGTCCACCCGACTATGGAATGATTTCGAAACCGAGGATTTTGTGTCTAGAAGACATGTTCCAGGCAGACCTAGAGTTACAGCGCCTTCGGGAAACCGTTATTTCGCTCTTTTGGTCTGAAGGAGGAGTAACGTTATTGTGCATCAGCTAATGGCAGATCATTTAGTGGCAACAGGAACAAGAATTTCAGCTACTACAGTGCGTATACGCCTGCACAATACAGGTCTGTATGCAAGACGATCAGATGTTTGCGTCCCCTTGACCCGAGGACACAGAGGTGCCCGTTTAGGTTGGGCAATAGAACACATCTCCTGGACCAGTCAACAATGGGCGTCGGTTCTCTTCACAGACGAGTCCAGGTTCACATTAGAGAGTGATTCAGGTCGTCAGCTGATCTGAAGAGAACAACGCACCAGATACAAACAATCCCACATTGTGGAAAGACAGTTACAGTGTAGAGTCATTAGGTTAATTGGAAGCAGAAAAGATGAAAAATTAGCAACCGCCTTCGCCGGGAATCGAACCACAGACCCCTGGAATACCGGCCCAGCGTGCAGAACCACTGCACCACGAAGGACGCTAGGAAAGTGGGAGAAATACCTTATATACTCCCCTTTTTAAAGGATGACTAGGGTTTCAGGGGACCTAGTCGCCAAATCCTGGGTGTGGAGAATCATCATCCACAACCCTTTTAGTTCGGGCGCCACTGTAGAGTCATTAGCTTAATTGGAAGCAGAAAAGATGAAAAATTAGCAACCGCCTTCGCCGGGAATCGAACCACGGACCTCTGGAAAATACCGGCCCAGCGTGCAGAACCACTACACCACGAAGGACGCTAGGGAAGTGGGAGAAATACCTTATAACAGAGGTGGTGGAATAATGGTTTGGGCTTTGATCTGTCTCAATGGTCACACTGACCTGCATGTGTTCCATGGAGGAACTTTGACCAGAGTGAGATATTGAGACGAGATCCTTGATCAATATATATCCCATATGCCGCTGCTATTGGTCCTGGATTTCTTCTGGTGGACGACAATACGGGACCGCACCAACCTCGGGTTGCTGAAGAATATTTTGAGGGTCACTGTATGGAGCGGATGGAATAGCCAGCTCAGTCCCCAGACCTGAATCCGATAGAACATTTTTGGGACTACCTTGGGAGACAGGTTGTTGCTTTAAGTCTTCCTCCAAGGTCGTTAGATAAGCTTGAACAAGGATTACTCCGTGTCTGGTCATTGCTTACCAATTCACTGACCGACAACGTAATCGACAGCACGAAACTTCGCTGCCGCCAATGTATTGCAGCTAGGGGTGGACACATTCCTTATTAGAACACATTTTTATAGTGTTACCACCTCATTTTTTTAAAAATAAACTGTGATATACCGTTTCTCCAAGACTGGATTTCTTTGCCAAGAGTGCATTTTTTTTGTTGTAATTCATAGTGGTGTTAAACTTTAGAATCATTTTATGTCGCATTCATTAAAGAACTGTTTAGTGAATATGTCCTCTACATTTCTTGTTTCTGTGTTGCTTCATTCTCAAAATTAGACACAAAAAACAAACTGCTACTTAACATTTGGGGGGTAGTGTACTTTTGAGTTATGTAATTGAGCAAGCAACACATAAAAGCAACTTGAATTATGTAAGAGATCAAGCACACCTTACTTTCCTTTTTCTTACCACGTATTTTATCACTGGACGCAAATTAGGGCTTTCTTGTAAACCAGAAAACTACATTATTAAACCTTTCTGCTTCAGTATGGTCAGCAAGAACCAAAATGCAGAATTTATTATTACTTTTCTATCACATATCTGTGCGGAAGTAAATATTCTAACAAAAATTCAATTTTTCTTCTTTCTTTATCCTGTAGAGACAGTGGATTGTTTTGAAGCAAGATATGTGAAATGCCCTCTTCGAGACTCGAACCTGGGCCTCTCGAATACACGCCGAGTGTGCTACCGTTACACACGAACACACGAAGACAGCAGATAGAAAACAGCTTATAATCCTCTTTTCCAATGCTCCAAAATACAAGGTAATGTTAAATTTTGGGTTCGAAGTACAAGTCTGGTATTTTTCTTTGAACCATTAGCAACTGAAATATTCTTTGATTTTTGTCTTCCTGTTCCCTTTTTTTGTGTTATTTAGACTGTAAGACTTAACAAAGTTTATTTCATATAAGGTATATGATGTTTCTTAGGAAAGATTATGGGTCCTGTCTATTAACAAATGGTTGTGGAAATACTTGTACAGGCGATAAATTTTATAATCATACTTTTTTACCGACTGTCAACATCTTTGAATTATTATAAGTGTATCTTGCTATTCTCGTAAATAATTTTTGTGAGAAAAGATTTATTTTGTGGTGCTCGTTCTTGAAGAAATAGTCAAAAGACTCTTTCGACGAGACATAATATCTTCAGAGAAGATGTGATAATTTATTATTGTGAAAAAAACGCGGAAGGAAGGTTACTTAATGCTTTTCTGTAGTTTCTAGCCATTTTCCAGCTCGAAATTTTCCATGTTTACTTATCATTTGCTTTTATTTTCGCGTTATCTTGCAACTGAAACGAATTTTGCTTACATTACCAACAGTTTGCTTTCGTATTTAGAGCAAATGGATATGATCGACTGGGTCTTACGCCTCTTTGTAATTACCCTGCAAATGAAGAGAATGTAAAGAATTATCGCATCCCTTTTAACCACTTGCCCTACTATTAAACTTCACGGTTGCGGTGCCGTGCGCTACAATATAACAAGCGGTAAAGTGTCTTATTTACGCCGCTCCGCGTCTGCGAGTGCAATCCAGAGCCGCTCCGCAATTTTTAATCATTGTCATTGGAGCTGTAACTCGAGAAATAAACAATCTCGTTGTTAGGCAACGTGTGCACCACGTTATTTTCATTTTTGCGATAAATGCCTATCGACGTGGTGTTCACGTCGCTCGCGGTTTGAGACAAAAGCATCTCGACGTGCGTGGCACGCACGCATTTAGCGCAAGTGGTTAAATAATCTCGAACTCTTAAGGGACTACAGAGGCTGTTCGCACATTTTTTAGACGATTTCGGTAAGCGGTAATAAAAATTCGTTTGCTGCAAAAGAAGTAATTGCAATTGTACTATGTTTTTAAAAGTCAAAATATTCGTGTGTAGCTCGAAAGTTCTGATTTTATTAAAAATGGCGAATTTAACAAAGCAATGGTTCGAAGGCTACATTTACGCTCTTTCCGAAGAGAAATATGCATACTCCGTTATCCAAAAACGTTGTGAGAGTCATGGTTTTGTGATATCTAAAGCGTCGATAGGTGATATCATCAACAAGAAAGGAAACAAACGTCAAAATTGGTGCCTCAAGTGGGACAAAAATTCCAAACAAGTATCCAAGGAGAAAACGGACATCTTGGACTATTGCAAAGGTACGTTGTTTAATGTTAAAAGAAAATTCCCCTAGTCAAAGGACAGTTGCAAAATCATTAAAATGCTCGGTATCCACTGTAAACAAAATGATAAACGTTGATTTTAATCTTAAGAAAGCAAAAAAACGCAATGTGCATCGTCTTCTGCCAAAGCATATCGCTCAACGGAGGCCACGCTGCAGAATTCTATACGAGAAACATTTATCCAAACAAAAATGGAAAACAATTGTCACAATAGATGAAGCATGGGTGCATTTAAATGATTGTAACAAAAAAAGAGCCATTTATTATCATAAAAGGGGAGAAAAAAATTTAAGTACATGGTTCAAAGATTCGAAAGAAAGTTGTTCTAAGGGATTCATGATTGTTGCTGGTTTTTCTTATAATGGCAAGTTAAAAATAAAGAGAGTGCAAAAAAATGTCAAGATTAACTCCAAGTACTATCAGGAACATATTTTATCGCCAATTTTTCACCATCGCTTTACCCACAGTGCCATCCATCTGTGAGACTCCTTCAGGACAAAGCTAGCAGTCACACATCAAAATCCACTGTAAATTTCCTAAAGGAAATGGAACAACAAACTGGTATCAAGGCCATTCCGTTCACTGATATCCCTACTCAATCTCCGGATATGTCACCTATAGGTTTTTGTGCTTTCGGACTTTTAAAAACTGCATTATCCAAACGTTGTCCCAAAACCCTAACAGGACTCTGGAAAGCTGTTCGGGAGGAATGCGATAGAATACCTCTCCTGCCACTTCAAAAGGCATTATTATCCTGGAAATTGCGGTGTCGAAAGATAGTTCAGAATAAGGGATGTCAAATAGAACATGTAAAACAGAATTTTATGTAATTTAGTTTTGTGAATACAATATACATCGTCTAAAAAATGTGTGAACAGCCTCTGTAGCACATTTCACTAGCTACTGGCATATCTAGAGTTCAAATCCCTGGGAGAGTCCATCTACATCTAATTTTCCATGTTTCCTCCATATGGAAAATCTAATGGCTTTTGTTTTCTTAATAATCTTTTCAATTTAATAGTCTTTATTCATTATGCAGTTCTTATTCATTTATTTATTAGCCCAAAAGGGTCAATTTGTGCAGAAGGGTTATTTGAATACGTGTTGGCATTTTGAGTCGGTTCACTATAAAATGTCGGTTCACTTTTCAAATTTTTGAAACCCAGTATTACAGCTCAGCATTATATTTAACGAAATTAAGTAATGAAGAATCTGCATGAATGTATGCATGTTTCTCGCACTGTGAAAAAACAACGGTAGTGACAGACATCTAGTTCTCATTAACGTAATCTTTCACTCGAATATGGGTATCTGGAAGCCCCAATTTGGAATATGTTTTATTATCTATTTCATATTTTGTAACATTTCAATGAATTTTTGATTAACAAAGTAAACGATTTCAAAGCGAGCAATGGCAACGTTGTACAGAAAAAACATTTTAAAATGAGATATGCTCATTTTAAAATTGCGATATTGCTGTTCAACTGAATTTTATGGTTTGAGTACGTAGAACATGATATTTAATAAATAAAGGTAACACACAAAACTTTTAAAAAAAACACTCCTTTGGAAGTAATTTAAAGTACCTTTCAGATTTATTTAATTTCCCCCCTTTACATTAACTTTTATCTGCCATATAGGCTTGTGTAACATACATGTTTAAATAATGTTTTCTAATCACTGAAATTAATTTTTCAGAGTATCCTGGATACAAGCACCCGCAGAAATGTTTAGGGGACTATCTGGAAGCAGATCTGTAAGTTTTTCTTTAATTCTTTACTTTATTTTTCACCAGTAGCTTATATAAAACAGTATTGCATCTGTAAAAATTCTCATGCGAATTTAAGGTACTTTAAATTACTTCCAAAGGAGTGTTTTTTTAAAGTTTTGTGTGTTACCTTTATTTATTAAATATCATGTTCTACGTACTCAAACCATAAAATTCAGTTGAGCACGTGATCTCCTACAAATTCCATGCAACAAGCTCTAAGTAAAGTACCATTTCCGGTTGATCATCTGTAAACAAAATCTAACTTGCTATTCCAATAAACCCTAAAATAAACAGTAATCTGTAATCCAATAGACAATAATCTGTGATACGAAATTTTGATTACATTTTATTAGGTGTAATTACTCATGTGTACGAACTGGTTTTTCTAAATTTACTCCGCCATAACCAAATGCTTTCCTCTTTGTTTAGTTCGTTCTCAAAATATGCGACATGCGACGGAGGACGGGGGCACCAACCCTCTACCAATACGGTTAATCGGTATAGCGCCACGTCCACCTTTATCTAGATAACCATACGTGTTCATTGTGCTAATGGTAATCCTAGCTAGTAAGCAAATTATTATTGCATTGTAAGTCAGCCCTTATGTGGCTGCGTATGTTCATTTTCACAAAATAGTGTGCCAGCGAACACTGGTAGTTCTGTCTAGTTTCGAATCCAAGCGAACGGGCTGGCTGCATGGGATTTTAGCGTTTTTTTCCAGCCAGTTGCTCTCATAGAGTCCTCCACTTAACAAGTTCCTTACCTTATCAGATGAGCACCCTTCCCTTGAAGATAGATAGCTCTCAAGTGCTTTGTCATAATCAGATAAACCAAACCAGTCTTTAAAAAAGCAATATTTAAATTATGCAAAGACTGTCTGCCTTTCTAACCTTGTACTGTTTGATTATTTGCTGTTTTCCACTTTGAAGCAGAGCTATGCTTTTCATTGATTTAAAAAATGAATGAGCATTGGTGCCTATTACTAGAGGAAAGATGTTTATAGAATAAATGTGTAATTTTTACTTCACTTTGACCTAATAACATTTCACTAAATGCTATTTTTTTCCGAACTATATATTTTTTAAAGCTATCTTATTTAATTTTAAAAACCCTCAGCTTAATATGCAAATATAAAGTAGAGATATTGATTTTTATTTCTCATTAAAGCAAATATTTGCCATTTTTGTCAATATTGATATCTAATAATGTTTAAACTCAAAATGGTTAATCTCATTTGAGTGGAATTTTATCTGATAAAACAACAAAAGTAAGGAAATTCTTACACAGCATAAATACTTTGTAGCATATTAATAAATAAAATTAAATATAAATAAATAAATATAAACTCATAATTTGCTTTTTAGTCCAAAGGGATTTGAATCCCGAAGGGCTATTAGTTTTCGTTTTGGCATTTTGCGTCGGACTCATAAATGTCGGTTCACTTTTCAAACTGTTGCCACAAAATGTTAGAGTCCTGCAATTATATTTGAAGAAATTAAATAATGAAAAAAATCTGCATAAATGTATGTATATTTCTCGTATTGTGATAAAACATAACAACGGTACATAGAGTCATCGAATTTTGAATAACGTAATCCTCCAACGAATATGAGCATGTGGAAGACCAATTTGAAATTTGAAATTTGTTTTATGATCGATTTCCTATTTTTTAAAACTTTGACGCGAATTTTTGATTAACAAACTCAAGGATTTCAAAACGAGCAGCAATGGCAACGTTGTGCAGAAAAAAACATTTTTATCTCCAGCGCGTGAGTCTCTGTATCGGAAATTCTAAAGATATGCTCGTTTTAAAAAAACTATTTTGCGATATTGCTGTTGCACTGGATCTTATGGTTTAAGTGCGAGGAACATGATATTTAATAAAGAAAGGTAACACACAAAATGTTAAAAAACGCCCGTTTGGACGTAACTTAAAATCTGAAACATTTCAGATTTTTTTTTTTTTTTTAGTTTTAAATAGAAAGTTCTGCTCCCTCTTAAAGTGATAAATAAAGAAACTCATTGTAGATTAGCGGTTTCAAATGAAGTGTGACTGATAGGAACAAGAACTAGTAAACACAAATCATAAGTTACGGCACGTGATTCCTCGAGCGCCTCGTCATTTAAAAAAAAAAATAACCCTTTTTGATGTATCGGGATTTGAAGGCAGTTTTACCTTATGATAAAGATGAATAGATACTTCTTTATTTCTTGCTTTTTATTTAATGCAAATCAACCATTTTCCTTAGCTCTTCATTTTTCTCATGTCCAACGCATATTCTTCCAAATCATTTCAATCTTTTTCAAGCGTTCAAGAATTCTGTTTATCGACAGAGGTCTTTTAACCTATTCTTAAAAAAAAAAAAAAAAAAGTTTAACCATTTTTTCACTCACATTAAAAAATCTGCCACTCTAAATAATAGCACGTACTTTAATCCTGCACTTGTTTTCCCAGAATATCAGTTATAACTGATGAATTTTACAGAAGATTAATTTTCATGTTGCTTTCCCTGATAATAATAAAATTCTCATCGCAGTACTTAAAAATCTCATTACAGATGGTACTTCCTAGCTCAAAAACGAGTAGCCTCAGAACGTTGAAATTTTGTATATAGGACTGCTATAACATGTAGATGTGCACCTCGTATTTTGGTTGCAATCGTCCGCACCAAACGTACATAAATACATTTATATATATATCCACTCTGTTACCCGGCTCAGTGATCTCAGTTTCTTTACTCTTATATGTTTGTAAATTGTAGATTTTTTGCTTTAAAAATGATTGACTATGTTGTTCTTATCTTCCGGTTTAAGGTTTTTATGCCTTTAGTAAATCTTATGCAATATTTTTAGAATTATCAATAATTTTATAATGTTGTTTAAGTGCCGTTAGCCTAATATATATATATATATATATATATATTGTGTGTGTGTGGTAATGTTTTCAGTTATACCAACACATCGTGGGCAAATGGTGAGGCTATTCCATTACACGTTCTGGCAGATGGTTGACGAAGCTTTGATTGAATCACGGAGAAAAATGACGACTCAGGACTTTTCACTTTTAACAGCAAGCATATCTTTATTTTAATTTACAGCAGATGACTTTTTCCAGATGAAGTTAATCAAATACTTATTCAGTAATTGAACTATTAGATACGACTGACTTTAAACTTTAATACATCATAACGTTCTAACAAATAAGAGGAGCCTAGCGGAAGCGTTCCAGGACGAAGGCGAGAAGGCATCTGTCTCGGAGAACTTATGACTCAGCATTTATATGAATGGTTATGTAACAGAGTAGCTTCTAGAAAATGTAGAAAACTTATGACGCAGCATTTATATGAGGAGGTTATGTAATAGGCGTGAATGTTCTAGCAGGTACTGGGTTAGGGGACGATCCTGAATTGCAGAAATTAATTAAAGGTTGCTGGTTCGCAAAGAGCAAAGCCATCGTATTTTTTTTTTATTTACATATATATATATATATATATATATAAATATATATTGATGGCGGTCATTGCTTTTTTACATTTGAAACAGCAGATAGTGGATTTGTTGCCGATCTAGAGAAACTTAGCTTCGCAACAACAAAGATAACGTCATCATTTATTATTGCGAATGAAATCATGCTTAATCCTTTCTGGAATTTTTTCAAGGAAATAAGTGTTTAAGATTTACTTCAACACATAGCGTCACTTTTATCACTTGTTTATCAGAAATTAACCAATTCGGTCAGCCTGAAATTTTCGCATTAACAAATACGTATTTTCGTTGGAAAAAAATAGCGAATACAAAGATAAATTTCATCTTTTAAAAATTACTTTTTAATAAAAAATTGCTTTTTTTTTATTACTTACAATTCGCGCAGAAGGGCTATTTAATTTCGTTTTGGCATTTTGCGTCGATTCACTGTAAACGGTGAATCCTTTTATAAATTCCTGCCACCAAATATTAGAGCCCTGTATTATATTTAAAGAAATTAAATAATAAAGAATCTGCATCAATGTCTATGTGTTGCATTTTGATAAAACAACGGTACCTAGATCCATCCAATTCCGAATAACGTACGTCTCCACCCCAATATGGATATCTGGAAGTCCGAATTTGGAATTTGTTTTATTATCTATTTCCTATTTTGTAAAGCACTCGTGTGTGTGTATTTGACTATGGCAAAGGCTCGAGAGCTATCTGCCTAAGGGAAGGAATGCCCTCGTAGAGGACTTTCTAAGGGAAACTGGGTTCGTATACACGTTACACATGAGGAAAATCACGAAAACACTCATGCAGCCAGCCCGTTCGCTGAATTCGATCCTCTGACCGAACTACCAATGTTCAGCGACTTTACCGCTCGGCCGCTGGTGGGCCGTAAAGCACTTATGAGTTTTTGATTAAGAAACTCAACGATTTCAAAGCGAGCAATAGCAACACCGTACGGAAGAAAGAAAACATTCTTATCTCCAGCGCGCGAGACTTGTATCGGAAATTCTAAAGATATGCTCCTTTAAACATTTTGCAATATTGCTTTTGAATTGAAAAGTACGAAGAACATGATATTTAATAAATAAAGATAACGCACAAAACGTTAAAAAAAGTCCCTTCGAGCGTAATATAAAATCTGAAAGCTTTCAAACTTTTTTTAAATTTATTTTTATAATTTTATTTTTAAACTAATTTAAGTTAATAAGTTTTAAACCTACCAGTATAAATAAGTTTACAAAATAAAAAACGTTTATAAACTGAGTTATACAGGTATCTTTCATATCTATGACAATTTTTCCAACTTTGTTAAGGATAAGAATATTAACTTTTGTTAAGGTTTGGTATTTCTTTTCGGTTTTTTAGTCCAAAGGGGCGATCTGCCCAGAAGGACTATTAATTTCGTTTTGGCATTTTGCATTGATTCACTTATAAATGTTGTTTCAATTTTCAAATTGTTTGCCACCAAATATTATAGCCCTGTATTATATTTAAAAAATTAAATA